AATATTTGACACAAGTTAGTTTGTTTTTCAACTCATCATGTGGTATTCTTATACACAGGGCTTTTCATCTTTAAAGCCTGTTATGAAGATTAATTAATTCTCACATCACCAAAAAAGGTAAGCCAGGCATACTCACGCTGTAGGAGAAAAATGTGTCCAATGCTAACACAGGCTCAACATCTAAAAATGGAACTACAGTACAACATATGGCTGCTAGTCCTGCGTTCGGGTGCTGTTATTTTTAAGTCTGAAGTGACTTCATGAAACACTCGGGCTGCAGCAGCGATCACTGCAGCATTCTCTCATGAAGCACTTCCTGGCAGGACCTGTGGTTCAGGGTAGCTGCGGGACCAAAGCATGAAGAAAGCACTCAGAAAATGTAGGTTTTGCTTTGAAACTTAATTTTTGGTTACAGCCTTCTCTCCTGTGCCTCTGCGACAGCTGAGACTGATTTAGTTCAGCATGAGTTGAAGGTGAATTTAGTTTTCCATGTCTCGTTATTTTATCTATCTGGACTTTCTTCTTTGTTCCTTACTATAAAATGCTAATACCTTCTCGCTTCTACTCTTCCCCCTTTCCAACTTCACTAGCTCTTAGGTACAAAAACCCCAAGCTACTGCATTCTCTTTCATTGTGCTGGATTTGACACAGCAGATATCTTTCTTTGATGATAGATGTGTACTTTGCAGGCATCCCATCCCTTCTCCAGGGTGCTAGCTACACAAAAAGTACCACACTGCTACCAAGATAAACACATTAACGTCAATCCAGATCACACTCTTTTAGCTATAACCACGAGATTTCAACTCCAAAGATGTACTGTTGCTATTTGCAACATACAGTTGTTTTAAAAAAGATCTTCCCCAATGAGCACGCTCGTAAGGATCATCTCACAGCAAAGGGCAGGTGCACAGACATTTCAGAAGGACAGAAAGATGTGTTTCTTCCAATACTTCTTTAATTTCATATTACACAGAAAGAAAGCTCTCACTCCCATTTCTATACAATTTTTCCTTCTACAATCAGAAAGAGAAATTAGAATATGCCAGCGTATCATTATGGATTAGAAGCATACAAGCTCTTCTTGGCCAGCTGAAGCAGGCAGAGGGTTTTGCAACATTACTGTACTTAAACAGCAAGACCAGACTAAAAGAGTAAGGGTACGATCCATTACTGGAGCAGTGGTCTGACATTCTTACTATTTTTAGCCTTCTCTAAAAGCAGAGCTAGAAATAGTTTCATTACTGAGTCACCTATCAGTAACTGAAAACAGGATATGCTTTCTTAGAGCTCAATTTTAAAAATCAAGTTATAGCCCTGTCTTATTTATTCCTCTTCACCTTCCTATTACAAAACGCCTGTTAGATCGGTTTTGTTATAGTAAGATGAATGGGCCAGGGTATCACTGAAGTCACCACTAGAAGTGAGCAGTGTCCTACAGATTTAAAAACCATGTAGAATATAAAAACAAATTCCCGTTTGTCTTGGTTTGTCAATATTTCTTGATACTGACAAATACAAAAACATCACCGTGAGGTAAACAGACTCAATTTTAATAAACCATTTTGGTTGTAATCTGACAACTATTAGTCTTCTTACAATCTCTGGAAGAGTAACAAGAATCTAGTGCCTAATGGTTTCTTAGCCCTTTAATGGACTGCAATTTTTGAGTTCTACGTAACAGGTCAAAGACAAAGTGCATGCACGTTTTTTTCCTGTAATGCAGACAGGAATTGTGGATACGTGGTGTGAGATGGGGCAGAAACAAAAATAAAAATCTGTCCCTGGAGTAAAAATTTTAAAAGGATGATTTATAAATAAGAGCACAGTATGCAGTCAGCATGGCAGGAAAGAGACAACCTGTATCCCTGTTCCCAAAGCTACACAGCAGAAAATGGCTAACGAGGAATTTTGAAGGAGCAATTAATTTAATACTGATACAATGGGAGAAAGCAACAGGTATGTAATTAGCCAATGAAACTGATTAGTGCTTGTTACTACTGAACCATCCTGATTGAAAGCAAGCACTAAATACTGACTGACTGACTGCAGGGAGGTGAAAGGAAACACTACACAGTGTGTTCCCAGTTGTCCCTTTAAAGGACACAAAAGAAAAAAGGCTGCTTGACTCGGCAGTTTTCATCCTGTGCAAGGAAACAGAAATACGCCTGATACTCAACCAGAATAATGACCTCTGGAGTTTAACTTCAAGAAAGTTATCTAGTCATACAGAACTCCTCTCTGCCACACCACACAACCCCAACAACTGGCAGTAAAACAACGTACGTCTTTTGTGGGTTTTGATTAGTGAATTGAATACACAAAACTAGACCTGGGCTTACATGTCTTAGTAATACAACAGTGTTTTTGCTTAAAATAGCATTAAGATTTTTGATCTAGAACAACATTAAAGCACGGCTAAAAGGAGACGACATACATCTTGGGTTCTGTTAGTTTAACTAAGAACTCTAACTTTGCAGTGGTTGATCCCTGGTGCTAATGCAGTGCTGTAACTCACAGGTACACGTTTACACACTAAGGCACACTGTAAACAAAGCTCCCTCTCCCAGCGTTGCAAGGACTCGTTTCATCTGTACGTCAAACAGAATCAAGACATCATTTATTTCAGTAGAAAGGAAAAGTGTCCTGTTCCATGTGGTACATAACAATGCTCATTTCTGTTTAATGATACCATGCAAGCAATCCAAAAAACCAAGAGTGTACTTCTGCAACTGCTTTGTAAGCACGCCAGTGCTGCCCTACGGGAAGTAATCTGTATGTGTGCTTATTCCATTCTGTGTTAATAAACAGTGATGGGAAAGAAGGGAGAGAGACACCGTAATTCAATATGAACCTCGGGAGCCATTATATTCTGATGCTTAAGACTTTATCATACATCCAGTATAAGCACTTACAAATACAGCCCTTATTTCTTCCTCCCTTAAGTTTTTCCTTGACATTTGCTCTTGACATTTTTTTCCTAGTATGACTTCAAGACAAAAAATAAAAGAGCATTTACTATCAGATTATTTCATGTCAATCACAACAGCAAGAGGTACAAATATTCTTGGAAATACAGTGTGCATCAAGATTGGGCTCTGAATGGCTTTACTACCACACACTGTGTATTGCATAAATCCACACTAAACACAACACTCCAGACACTTAATTTGACAAGCGAGTGCATCTGTGCATACATGTATATGCCTCTCCATTCCTTGAAGCTCCTACACTCAAACTTTAGGCACCTGTGTGCATGAAAAATAAGCTTTATAAAATACAGTACTTCAATTAGGAGTGAGTGAAGAGGTATGTTGGGGGTCTCAGAAATGGTGCTCTGGTGGGATACAACACAAGGCTTAAATGAATCACACTCAGATTATATATGATTATACACTGCAGAGTCTCCAGGGGGCTCTGAAATACACGTGAAAACAGCTGTTGTGGCTGGAGTTGCTCCTCTAGAAACACCTCTTTACTACATCAGCTCTGAACAGGGATGCAATTCTGTGCCATCTTGAAAGACAGACCCAGCGTTCAAGAAAGACACTTTCACTAGGCAAGAGCAGGAATTCTGTCTCCCTCACGTTATGTGACTTAGCTTGGTGGTTGGGATTTGGGAATCTAAAGCAACTGAAATGTCCTCTGATGGTTTGAGAAACTTCAAAAAATACTGTGGTGCTCTGTTCTAGGGCTTCAGTTTGCCCTCCTTCACTAAACGCTCATTGAGCTGGCAAAGCTGCCTTAGAAAGCCATCATTGGGGCCAATCTCTCGCTTCTGCCGGACAGTGCTCAGTGCAGACTTGACATCCATGTTCTGGCGAAGCATGAGGTAGGCGATGACCAGTGTAGGAGAACGGCTGTAGCCCTCCCGGCAATGCACAAACACTTGTCCTGCAGGGAAAACAGGCCATAATTTGGGTTACACTGGAACGTATGTTTGAAAAGCAACATGAAATAGCTAGGATATAAAGCGTAATTGTGTTAGTCTTTCACAAGCTTGAGAACTGTAAATTCTGAATGCTACAGAAGAAATGTAGAACTTGAAAGAAAGGTGCTATAACTCTGTTAGTAGCTACACACTGTCATCAAAGATAATGCAGAAGGAAAATGGCTGTGTATCAAACACTCACACTAAAACATATTTGCTATTCTATTACAAAGAGTCAAACTGTCTATTTACTGCACTTCCCCAATCTTTGGTGGTTTAGAATAAGCCTTGCCCCTAAAGATGACCAGTACCAAAAAGCGTAAATAAATGATGCAAAGTTTAAAATACACTGAATACAGAGAAATATACTGTTTATCTTATTTTGCATCTCTGCAAAGATATCCAGCCTTTTTGCTGAATTGCTGCCAATTCCTATGCTAACTCCATGTTGGATCATACCTGGCTGCTTCTCTGGCTATTTATGAAGCCACATAAACACTAAATAAAAGAAACTGCTGACTGTGCAGCAACAAGAACCAGAAACATCTGATCACACCTATGCCAGCAGCAATAAAATGCTTCCAGCTGACTGATTAGAGAACTCATTCTACGTATTTGTTGGGTTGTATTGGGTTTGCGTGGCAGTTTTGGTAGCAGGAGGGGCTACGGGGGTGGCTTCTATGAGAAGATGCCAGAAGCTTCCCCCATGTCCAATAGGAGTAAGTGCCAGCCAGTTCCAAGCTGGACCTGCTGCCAGCCAAAGCTGAGCCCATCAGTGACAGTGAGAGTGCCTCGGTGATGACATATTGAAGAAGGGGAAATATCCTGCTGTGCAACAGCAGCTGGGAGAGAGGAGTGAGAATATGCGAAAGAAACAACTCTGCAGACACCAAGGTCAGTGAAGGCTTTGGGAAGTGTCTCAACACTGGAGCAGGGGGATTCCCTGGCAGCCCGTGGTGAAGACCATGGTGAAGCAGGCTGTCCCTCTGCAGCCCAAGGAGGGCCGTGCTGGAGGAGAAATCCACCTGCAGCCCATGGAGGACCTATGCTGGTGCAGCCGGATGAGCCTGAAGGAGGCTGTGACCCGGTGGGAAGCCTGCACTGAAGCAGGTTCCTGGCAGGACTTGTGACCCCGCAGGGCACTCACGCTAGAGCAGTCTGTGCCTGAAGGGCTGCAGCCCATGGGAGGGTCCGATGCTGGAGCAGTTCATGGAGGACTATCTCCCCTGCGTGGGATGCCATGCTGGAGCAGGGGAAGAGTGAGGAGGAGGGAGCAGCAAAGATGTGTGATGAACTGACCACAACCCCCGCTCCCTGTTCCCTTGCGGGGAAGGAGGTAGAGAAAATCGGGAGTGAAGTTTAACCCAGGAAGAAGGGAGGGGTGGGGAGAAGGTGTTTTAAGACTTGGTTTTATTTCTCATTATCCTACTCTTGATTTGATTGGTAAGAAATTAAATTAATTTTCCCAAGCTGAGCCTGTTTTGCCTGTGATGGTAATTGCTGAGTGATCTCCCTGTCCTTATCTCAAGCCATGAGCCTTTTGTTGTATTTTTCTCTCCCTGTCCAGCTGAGGAGGGGGAGTGATAGAGCAGCTTGGTGGGCACCCAGCATCCAACCAAGGTTAACCCATCACATGGATAAATCCTCTAGGTCAGTATCAAGCAATAAATAAGCAGATCACTGCTCCCTTTGAGAAATCTAACTTGATTCTATTGTTTCTCAGCTGCTTCCTCTTTGCCCTGCTTTTCCAGAAACAAAAATTTTCCCCTTTCCAAATGCAGTGGGAGATATGGCCCCAAGCTACTCTCCAGAGTAAATTTGTTTCTGACACAAGAGATGAGATGAACCATACACACACATTTTCATCATAACCACAACTTGCTTTGAAAGCAACAGAAAAGCAACAGCAACAGAAAGCCCATTAACACATCTGCCTTGAGCTGAGAAGCCTCTCTGCAGCTCAAGGCAAATCTCTAATCAGTGGTAAGTTAAAACAGCTAAAACTATTAATTCTTAACAATTCTTGAGAGCCTGTAGCCATAAATTAGCAAGATTTAGAGATTCTTGATCATATACGTGGAAGAGGATTGACTTCCCTTCTGCAAATGATCAGAAGCAAAAGGGTTTCTAGCCTTCCTCTGAGAAAGACAGTGTCTTAAGGGCCGCCTTCAAGACCTTTAGTAAACCAGACCTGCTTTCCAGAACTTCACGCAACTACAACATTCAAATGAAACTGCAGGAAATCACTACTGCATCCCTCTTCACTTCAGTGTCCTTACTCTACACATCAATGTCTATCAAATGTCAGTAGTGAGTTAATCTTAAAACTGGCTCCAGCATCACCCAGCTACAAAGTTCCTCTTTGTTTACCACAGTAAGAAAACAGTGGCAGGCAACTCCTAAGACTGAAAGAATCAGCGAACAGAACTGCGACTGTAAATTCAGGTAGACTCTGCAACTGTTCAGATCAAACTGAGTAGGGACAGTCGTGGTGACGCTGGCACTGTTAAAACTCTTCTTTCCTACTGAGTCACAACACTAACTAGAAGAGTTGCATTTAAATTTTTAGATACTCATACTCCACCAAACTGGAGGTAAAATTTCTTTCCATCTGTCAAAAGCACATCACAGCTCTAGTGATTTTTGCCCATTTCAGAGAAAGAACTTCTAGAATTATGGGAGTTCTCATTCCTCCTTTTTCATGTTCAGCCATGAATCAAGAAAGAAATTAAGCATGTGTAGAAATAACTGGTATGTTGAAATAGTCAGACAGCAACAAACACTGTCTCACCCACTGCACTATGTCCTGAGATTTCTGCTCTGAGGAAACATGCTGCAGAAAAATGCGGCAGTCAACATCACTGCAAGTATCAGCACCAGCCTTGCTGCAATCCCAGGTAATGAAAAGGTAATCATGACATAAAATAATTTAATGACTTAATGTGATAAAAACTGTAAGGCCACAGTCTCTATCCTTACCGTACATTTGGAAAAAAACCCCATAGAGCAGATTGTGTGAGTACTCTTCACTAATGCATTACTTGTATCGTTTCTGCCTTTAATGTACAATTTCTAGTGTCCTAGAACAACTTTTAGATCCTAAACTTCTTTTTCAAAAAAATTACTTTATGTGATTTACCACTTTAAGGCAAAAGAAGAACACGTATTCCCAGAAATGCACTATTAAAGGATGCAGCAGCTGTTTCACTTTTCAAGGTCACTCCTACAGTGACAGACTTCCATTTGCCATATACAGGAAACCCACATATACAGACAGAAGATTAAGATGTCTCATCGTGTATTCTGATGTCTCTGATGCAGAGCCTTGATCTGAATTCCTGACTTAGTCGTTCAGCTGATAATCTGAGCAAAGAGCCATTTTAAACAGCTAAATAAATTGCTAGGAAACATACGCGGTGCACAGAAAACACGGTAGAAAGGTATTTCAGTTTGCCTTACCATCCTTCTGGGAAAGTGCTTTCTCAATAAAATCAGCTGCCTCCTCAAAATAGCGACTGAGGTTAAATTCTTGTGTATCGTTTGCTTTAATGCCATGGTATCTGATGCCTGTGCCTTCATAGAACTCTGCATTAGTGTTCACATGCATGAATGACTTCCCCTCTGCTGCATTCAGAACATGGGTTATCCCCAGGCGCTGCAGCCTCATAATGTTCTTGGCTATGAACCTGTATGATAAAAAGTGTCAAGAAAACGGTTAGAAGGTGGTGAATCATCTCAGCATTTATGATGTCCCCAGAAGGTATTGATAAGCAAAACCTTTGATTTTTCTCTTAACAGATGCTAAATATACTGTACTTAGAAGTGAATTAGCTATGGGTTATAAATTCACTGAAGTATTTAGAGCCATGGAGGCTACTTGTGCATGAGAGAACGCTGCTTCCTTGGCTGTCAACTCCCTTTTGTCGTAAACCCACCGCCGAGCCTGATTATTTCCATGTGTCATTCCCAATACTTGCCTCACTTTCTTGGGAAGAAAAAGACCCAAATGTATGTTTTATCACACCAGGTGGTCTCCTGGTAAAATCTGAGCCCACTGGTCAACGTCAGCAGAGCGTGAACGAGGGCTTTACTTAAAAGGTAACTCAGCTCCTGCACACTTTGTGAAAACAGGTACCCTAAACAGCCACAAATCCCTCATTGTCTTTAAAGGCAGCTTTCACTTAGTGCCTAGCTAGATGTGGAAACAGAAATCTTTTCGAAAAATCTCCATACAGCTGAAGTAATAAGTTGCAAATACAAGGAGTCTTAATATTAAGCTGAGCTCCGGATGAGCATTCGTGCAGTATCTTTTTGGACAAGTTTCTGAGAGATGGCAATGCACCTAAGGGTTTTGGCTGGACACTCAGCCCTTCTAAAAAAGTCAAAATAAACACCCCAAACAGTTGGTTTATATCTGCATGAATCTCTGAGTGCATTCGCTCGTAATTTTCACGTAATTCACAGCCATATGAACATCTAGAGCGTTCCTTTTCTCCCCATAACTGTTCACCCCTTAAACTCCAGTGTAAGCAGATGAAGCCTTATGCATGAGTGAAGCTTCTAGACCTTCTGCTGTCTGTGCCAAACAACTCTGGCAATAAGCCACATATTTGTAAAGACTTCATTACCCAAACAACTGTTGACAGATTTTCCATCTGGCAGGACATCATCTGTGCCAGGGGACAAGGATCCGTGCCTGGAGAATTCTGCTTGCAGCACAAAAGTAAATCCTACAGTGCAAGGCCAAAGCAGAAATGTTAATTCAGCTGTGAGTTCCCATGCTTAGTGGGGTGAGTATATGGTTTAAGTGATAATATATAGATCAGTATATGTCTGATAGAGGTCAGGATCAATGAGAACTCGTGCTCGGGAATTGTGGTTGAATCTGGCAACACAGACTGGAGGCAAACTCATTCCCAGTGCATCTGCAAAAAATTTGCAGACTTAATGTCTGATTTTCTTACCCAGCTAGAGGTGAAAAAGACAGCATTTGTAAGTCTTTTTTTCTCCCTTTCCAAACTGTCCTTGGATCTCTCCCATCCTTAAACTTTCATTCCAGCTGTATCAAGTTCAATGTTGAAATGCTAGCTGCTCCAAACAGCAGAGAGACAGTAACACCAGCTGCTTCTGTTTCCCTAAGAAAAGTCATAGACCCTTGTCTGTTCTCAGTATGGAGATTGAGAGTTCCTTGTTCAGTAACACCAGCAAGAAGTGTTTCTTTTGAACACAGAGGAACAGCTTTACCAGCCAAAAAACACAGGTCTTGGAGGACCATGCCTCGGCAATTAAGGGTACATGAGGCTATCGAGTATTGCTGTATGGGATTATAAACAAGTAAACCAAGTCCTTAATGGCAAAAAATGCAAGCACATTTAACACATTTTAATTTCCACTGTTACGTTCATGCAAAATTGTTTCCTCGCTGCTGCTTCTGTCACCATCACTAAATTTAATATTAATTTTGGGAGAATGCCTTTCATATTCCTCACAGCACACCTGCACTTCCAGCGCATTAACAAAGAATTCCTTCATGGGTTACCCACACGGATTAAAGCAGAGAGAAAACTCAGATTAAACATTCGTAACCAGAACCCTTTTGCCAAATGCAGTTCTGGAGACAAGCCTTGAATTGTCACGGGCTTCCAGCGGCCTGTGGAGAAAAGCGACACACAGGTTCTCTTACCCAGCAGTTCAGGAAGCTAAGGCTGCTTGCTTTCTGTTTAAACACTGGTTCTGACAAGACACGGTTGCTCTGAATAAAAACCCTGCTCTCCAGTGCGTTGACTGCTCCACCTCCCATTTTGGTGTCATCCGCAACCCTGACAGACGTGTTCTGTCCTGGTCGCTGATTAGGATGTTACACTGAAACACATCTTGACTTGTACAGAAACAGAAAATGATTTGTACTTTGTACTTCCAGTGTACCCCGAATTCTTCTTTTGTTATTGCTTGAAAAATAGATAATTGTGCTTGTCTGCTACCTAATAATTTTTTTGGTGATACATTTTTATTCGTCTTCACAAATCTTAACTTCTTGAGAAGTCAGAACTGTCCACTGTAATATGCAAAAACATGAGTTTCAAAATATTTTATCATTTTACCTCTACGTTCTCTTTATTTATCACTTTCATGTACTGCATGGAAGATCGAGTACTTCGACTCTGCCTGTAACTGAAGTCATTTGACAGATAAATTGTTATTCTACGCTGTGATCCAACTGAATCTCTTATGCCTGGATGTCTGCTGCCGTTTTTGTCTAAAGGTGAGTCACTCATAAGGAGAGACAGCAGCACCTCAATGCAAAATATTATAGAAGGTTTCCAAAAGAAGTTTCTGAATTTCACTCGTTTTCATTTCTTTTCCTGTGAGTTCCTGTTCAAATTCTATTGCTTTTATGCCACATACTGGGATTCCCTGTTCAAAGTCCACAGATGTGTCTACTCTGAATCCTTATTGTTATAAAATCTCTGCTGCTTGTAGTGATAAATGTGCCCCTGCATTGCTGAAAGGTCCAAGTCAAAGCAGAGATTTGAACGTCAGATCAAATGACCGTGTTACTTTGTTCTGCTGCTACGCTGCCCTCCCAGACTTCCCTGGAGCCCAACGCAGAGAGCTTCCAACGATTCCTCGGAGGTTCTGCAAGGAGATCTGTGCAACAGAAGGCCAAACCAAGATATGAGGTGAGCACCAAACAGATGCACACTGCGCTGACAGCTTCAGAGATGAGATGAGATGTGTTCCAAGCTCTGCGCAGCTGCTAGAGCAGAACGTGATCGGGTAATGAACTGCAAAGACAGGCCCCACACAAGCCATGGCTTATTTCTTGCACACCGTAGTAAAAGCTTCATTGATGCCTTGCACGCTGTTGGACCCACATATGCACAAAGCCCGAGAGGCTGAGTGCAAAGGAGGTTGACTTGCCCAGCAGTTTGTAGGAGAAGGAGTCAACTCAGAAAAACAGATCTCTCTTCAGCCTTATCTTTACAAAAGGAGAGTACAAAAGAGGGGCAGGTAGCTGGACATGGCGTGAAAACAGATCTGCACAGTTCCAAATTCTTTCAGAATGACAACTAATATAGCAAATGCTGCTTACAATGCAGTATACATCAACCTCATCTTACACAAAAAAAATCCTAAGATTAAGAGTTAGTATTATTTCCAGTCTGAGAAGATAAAAGTTCACCCTGCAGTGACTGAATCTTAACAGACATCCATCCATTGAACTAGACCTCAGCATTACAGTAACTCTCTGTGGATGCTTCAAAGACATTATTGCCTACTATGCCTTGATAAATGAAGTAGGTTGCCTGTTCCCACTGTGAAATATTCAGCCCACAATGTTTTTTTCTTAACTCTAGCTGTCATCCACGATTTTGCAGCATTCCTTTAAAAACACTGACAGTAGAATTGCACAAACTGTACTTGTGCTACAAACTGCAATGGTGCTGCAGATATTTTCAGTTGTCAGTTATTACATAAAAAGCCCTTCTTAGTGGTAAGGCTTTCCACTAGACAGACATTTCCTATTCTCCAACTTACACACGCATTCTCTGTTTCCAGACAACCTTGCATCCAAATGTATTAAAAGTCCATCCTGTATAATTAAAATCAATGACTGAACAATGAAAACTACTCTGTAGTAGCCAACTATCTTCAAAGTTATTTTTTTAATTATTTACTGCGCAAATCACCTTGCAGGCTATGACTTCATTTCTTTCAGGTAACAGCTAAAAATACGAAGGAGGAGATGGCTGTCGGACGTCAGATTGGCCATTGAGACAATAATTTTGGTCCAACCTCTAGGTGCACATGCCCTGCATCAATTGGCAATGGCAAACATCATTTGTTTTGGCTTAGGAGAAAGTCAATGAAATCCTGTCGGTTTGACTTTAGGAGTTGAAGCTTCCAATAAGAGCAGGGATCCGGTATACTACACATGTATCAAAAACTGTCACAAAGTGTACAAAGATGGACAAAAAAGGTAGAATCAGCAGGATATGATAGGATTGGCACAGATAACTGAAGTCATAATCTTGGTGCAAAGAATAATCATCATACAACCGAGAAAAGAAGTGCTGTTGGTGAATCCTGAACACTTCTCCCCACTTAAGGGCTTTCATCACAGCCGTATCTGTATCACTCTGGTGCCAATCCTGTGCATGAACACTTAATTAGGGCAAGTTTTATTAGGGTTTAGAGTACAGAAATATTCCTTTGACCAATCACAGGCAGGATTGGCAACTCCTATTAAAGCCTTGCTTTGTTTAGGTCATTTTGCACATGGTTAAACCTTTCGGTTTAACAACATCTGTATTCCTACTATGCTCATTCTTCATGTTCCAGCTTATTCCACTCATCCGACATACGGTTACTATGCTGGTGTTGTGATCAGGCTTCTCCAGATGATACTGTACCATGACAGACCTCATGGCATCTTCTCTCTCCTCCCTCTTCTGTGTGGATCACCACAACTTTTTAGCAAGAGTAGGAAATATCAGGAGAAAAAAAAAGCCCAGGGCTGACACAACTGAGCAGGTGTGTTTCGTTGTTAAGCAACCTAATTAGTTTTAACTTTGTTTCAGCTCTATTGTTGGGACTCCAACAGGCTACGGAGCATTTTAGCAGATGCCATTTACGGGCTGTGCTCCGTCATTTGCCGGGTCGGG